TTATCGCACCCAATTTTCCATACCAAGAACTTAAAGTTTGATAATTGATATCTTAATTAATAATGGCTATTCTACTAAATTAATTTTTCAAACCATAAACCATCGTTTAAAATTACTAATCAATAAAAACAACAACATTATAACAATAGTATTTCTACTCTAAAATCACCTAATTCATACTTTACATTTCATATTTACTAACCATATCTGAACAATTTAAAAATATCACAAAGAATCTTAATACGAAACTCTCCTACTTCAGTTTAAATAAGTTAAACAAATACATTAAAGTGCATAAAGATAAAGTTCCAATTTTTTCCAATACCAATGTTGTTTATAGAATTGAATGTGCAGACCGTAATGCATCATATGTGGGCCAAACGGGACGTAAATTAAGTACTAGGATTTCGGAACATAAACTTGACATTAATAAGAACACAACGAACAAATCTGTTATAACTAACCATAGGCTCGATTTTAACCACGAATTTAAATGAAATAAAGTAAAAGTTCTTGATAAAGAAAATTTTCTCGGAAAAAGATTAATCTCCGAGATGATTTATATTAAAAACAAACAAATAGTTTGAACTTGCAAACGGACACAGAATGTTTCCTTGATACATATATAGACAGTATTGATAAACTACCGAAACTCTGAAAATAGATACACAAAAATAATAAGTAACATCGCTCATTTTCACCTTTCAATCACTTTGTCTGTGACATTGTAAGTGTGCGGATCTCGGGAATCGATGTTCCTCCTACACTACTGTTTTACGTTGCAATCTAGTCATATGGAAGTCTATAAACATTTTCGTTTTCGTACAACCTATTAAGTTTAAATAAATCAATAACTATTTAATAACGTTATAGGATTCAAATCATTATGTGCCTATCGGGTCTAATAACTGGAGTAAAACACAATTTACCAATTTTAACCATCACATTATGACTATGTTGGAGGAATATCGCTTTTCATTTTTACATCATGTTCTCTTTTTTTCTTACCATAATATTTGTTAATCATTACATCTATCATTGTATTTTTAATGCATTACATACTCCATGACGTTTTTGATTATGCTTGATGTATATGTTACCGTTATGACACCGTTTATTTTTTAAATTCAGAATTTAATCAGCGTTGATAATGGTCAAAATATTGACCGAATCGTTCGCTTTGTATTTGTATTTAAAGAGGACTTATGTTTAATTTTTTTTTGTCACCTTTTATTGTAATTTATTATTAGACATTAGATTAAAGAATATTATCTTTATATATGACCACTTTCAAACATAATTTGAATTTTTATATTTACTGCTCTTAACAGCCTTTTATCAAATTTCTTATATTTTATTATCCTTTTTTTGTAAAATTGATATTCAACGAAATATTTGCAAAAAACATTTGAGTCTAAATTGTTTAATTATTCTTCTTAACGGTCACTGTATAATGGTAAACTTTTCCCCCTTTCCCTGCAAAAATGAAGGTCTGTACCAAAATTCAGCTTTTTAACATTTTTTCCGACCTCAAACTCTAAAATAACTGTATTATTATTACAGATATAAGAAAAGGAGAAAGAGTGGAGAGGGGGAGAGTGAGAGGATGGGAAAGGATGGGAGTGGGTGAAAAGGGTGAGAATGAGTGGGAAAGGGTGGGAGAGGTTGAGTGGCGGTGGGGGTGGGTAAAAGGGGTGGCAGTAAGTAGGGTAGGGGGATGTGGATGGGAGAGTGTGGGAGAGTGTAGGTAAGGGTGTAAGTGGGTGAGAAAAAATGAGAGAGGGTGACAGAAGGTGGGAAGTGTGGAAGAGAGTGGGTGTTGGTGGAAAAGGGTGGGAAAGGATGTATGAGGGTGCAAAAGGGTGATAATGTCAGAAGAAAGTGTAAGGTTAAGGCCATGTGCCTTGGCGGCCACCCATCTCGGACAAGATGGCGGCTGGACAAGTACGACGACGTATCTTAATAAAAATTACACATTTTTGACCGAAAAATTTCTAAAAAATTTATATCTTTACAACCACTGCAGCTATCAACTTCGTCAAAATGTCATTTTACGCGGAAAAGTTAACGCTTTTTATTGATATGGCCATCTTTGAAAAATATGTTCTTGTTCATGAGATATTTCAAATCATTGTTTCAAATATTCACGAAATTGTGTTACCTCCGGTAAAGGATACACAGTACCGTTCCTTCCAGTTTTTTCGATATCTCTCGATATTTTCGCTATATTTTCGATATATTTCGATTGAATTTGAAAAATTTGAGTAAAACATATATTGACATTTTAGAAGAATTATCTGACACACTTTAAAAAAAAAATAAATTAACCTTTAACTACTGACAACACTATTAACTATATAAACAGGCTATGATATAACAATAACACGTATTATTTCTTTGAATTGCTGAGTCGCAACAACCAACACATAACATCAATATGTAAGTTATTGCAAATTTATATTTTTCGGAGTGTTCTTCATTGGAATCCTTTTAACATATCTATTTTGGAAAAAAAAGGATTGAAAAAATGGGACTCATCTCGCGAAGATGCCGGAACAGACTGTTTGCGTTGTCCAACGACGAATTTGGGCTCCGTGCATTTATTTGAGAGATGGTCTTAAACATAAGACATCTAAGAATATTTGTTTCAATCATTGTAATTAAATCGAATGATAATCGAAGTTTCGTCTTTACGTAGTTACGTCTTTGCAAGATTATGTTTAAATTTCTTTATTATATTTTATAATTTTATACTTGCGGTTGATTGTATTGATAAAGACCTAGTAAGGTCGAAACGTCTACATTTATATTATGAATAAATAATTTTTAATTATCCTTACATCTAAATTATTTTTGCTCGTTTATTTAGCCTATTATTTATGTTTTATTAATTTTAAAACATATATACCTTCAATATATTTCGAATGAATTTGAAAATTTGAAAAAGATATCCTTAACAAGACGCTACCGCGTCTCTTGATATAAAAATCAAACGATTAAAAGTACGAGACAATAATCAACATATCACGCCGAAGCATCGTCAAGTTTTAATATACTTTTAATAAGCAGATTTACACGACCTATATAATTTTGTTGTACATGTTGTTTAAGCATTCTGTATCCCTTTGTGAATTTATGTTATTATTTTGTTTTTTAATGAAAAACATTTCTGCTACCTCCCTCTTTTTTAAATGGTTTTTTGTATGTAAAATGTCAAATTTTTTCAATCAAAATCGTGATTAAATTCACATCGGTGCTTACTTACAATTGAATGCAAACTATGATGTAATTTAATATTTTTACAATGTTCCTTAATCCGTTTAGCGACATGTCTCTTTGTTTGTCCCACATACGATGCAGTACAATTATTGCAATTTAATTTATATACAACGTTAGTCACAGAATCAATCAACAAACTGTCCTTCCCACACTTAATTAAGGAATTAAGATTCTTCGGTATCATATAAACAACATTTATCCCATATTTCTTTAGAGTGTGAGATGTTATCGCTATAATTATTCACATATAAGATCGACATTTACGGTGTTTTCAACTTCTTATCTATTACAATAGTTGTTCGAAATTGAGAAGAAAATTAATATAATTATTTAAGTCTATAATTTCAGTCTAAAAATCGATATTTTTTTTACATGAATATGCAAAAAAAACCGCGGAAAAAAGGGCTCGCCCGATATAAACAAGTAGGCGATAAATCAGGATTATCCTAACAAGCTGTCAATAATAACAACATTGCTCAACCGAAAGCAACGATTACCGCATTGATTATCGATGTAATAGACATGCGCCGTTCGATCACGTGGCTTCCGAAAGCCAATCGATCCCGATATCGAGCGTTTCGCGCATGTTAGGTGCGTGCTTGTTTCGCGTAAATTACGGGGCGGCCAATAAAGACAGGCGCCCTCGCGTCACCTTCGAACATTTTTAAACAAACGAAATTAATTGGTGAAGAAAAAATTAGTGGGGCTTCAGTACCGCACCGATAAAAGAAGCGCCCACCAAAATTGGGCCGCTAGTCTCTCGAGTTTTAGTACGTACAACCGCTGTCAAACCGCTTAGAAATTACCGCAATTATTAACCGCACACGCACTTTGAAATCAATCTCGGCTTATCTATTGGAACTTTTGTAAAATTACTGTATCGTCTAAATTGTGTTAAAGTAAACTTTGTGTTATTTTTTAAAGGGTGATCAATTCTTTTCGGCCTTCAAATACGCGCTCTCTTTCACGCGTTCGCGCAAACATATTTTTGGTCCTTCGAGCCGGATTATCAGTTCGTCGCGCCGGCACGCGTGTGAACGTTCTTGAAGACGAGAGTGAAGTGCCTGAAAAAGAAATACAGTGAGTGTCACATCATGGATGCCGCTATATTATTAGATAGTCAGCGTGAGATCCAAGTTCGAATCTCACGCTCTGTCGAATACCTGAAGAAGATGGGCGCTCCTAACATCACATCCAGTGCCGTCACTACCCGCATCAGACTTCTCGATCAAGCCTGGGATAAGTTCGTAATCCAGCACAATCAGCTGCGCATTGCCCTGAAAGATAAGTTCAGGGAAAGTGATTACGTTACTTCAGGACTCCATGATTTGACTGAAAATACGTACGTACAGCAAAGGAGCATCCTGGACGGCTACGCTGAACGCATTCGGTCAGCCTCGGAGACAGTCAAGTTAAACGAAGCCGCTCCTCGAACCGCATTACCTCGGGTCAGGATTCCGCAGTTTTCGGGAGCTTACTCCGAGTGGCCAACCTTCCGAGATCTCTTCCTGTCTGTCGTCGGTGATAACGCCACCATCTCTAATATCGAACGCCTGCATCATCTTCGGTCGAGTTTGAACGGACAGGATGAAAAATTGATAAGCTCATTACCGGTGACAGGAGACAACTACGAACGTGCATGGACGATACTGTGCAAACATTATGAAAACGAGAGAGAACTCATCCGATGCAACTTCGCCGCATTCACCGCAGTGCCGAGAATGAAGAACGGAACCGCTGAAGAACTGCATCGCATCCAGAACGCTGCCGTCACAGACGTCAACGCACAGGAAAGTATAGGTCGTCCCATTGAATCTCACGGAATGGACCTCCTAAACTACCTGATCGTCGAACAATTCGACGCACACACTCGGATGGAATGGGAGAATTCCATATCCGACTCCAACAAGTCACCACAGCACGAAACACTTTTGGACTTCATGACGCGACGGATGTTCACACTTAACGCCGTGCATCCGAAGACTCTCAAGAAGAACTTCGGAGAGTCTTCACGAACGGCGAAGACATATGTTGCGAAGCACGGAACTGACCTTCCACAATGCGCACTGTGCCATGAAAATCACCATCTGATGACGTGTCGCAAATTCAAGACGAAATCCGTTGCAGATCAAAAGGCCTTTGTTGAGACACACAGACTGTGTTTCAACTGCCTCGGAAATCACTATCTCACAAAATGTCAGTCGAAGAAGAACTGCTACACATGCAAGGCACGGCATCACACTTCACTGCACGACGCATACATCACGGTCACCGCACATACACCAGAAGCCACTTCACTCGCCGCACTGCACAAAGTCAAGGAACAGAAGGCTGTACTTCTCGCCACTGCTCGGGTGAACATAGCCGATCGCCATGGAGCACCGCACGACGTCCGAGCACTAATCGACCAGGGATCAGAGGTGTCGATCGTTTCTGAAGCACTGGTGCAACGATTGAACCTGCCTCGATCACGCACCGACATGGCCATCTTTGGGATCGGAGGCGCACGACCAGGATCAACGCGTGGCAAGGTCACGCTGCACCTCACTTCGGACATCACGAACGCCCGGCTCTCCGTGATAGCGTTTATATTACCACGCCTATCACTTCTTCAAGGCTCCCCGTCCAGCACACTACAAGATTGGCCGCATATTCGAGGACTCCAACTGGCGAATCCTCAATTTCACGAGAACGATCCAGCCGAGCTACTCCTGGGAGCGGAGGTGTGCTCCTTAATTCTTGAAGAGGGTCTACGCAAGGGTGGACCTCAGATGCCAATTGCGCAGAAGACATCACTAGGATGGATACTTTCTGGAGGCTCCGACGTCGCATCCGCAGAAGAGCACCGTCGCACATTCCAGTGCACTGCCGATCACGAGCTACTCGAGCTGGTGCAGCAGTTTTGGGAACAGGAACGGAAGCCCAACGCAGTCACGACACTCTCCGTCGAAGAGCAGCAATGCGAGGAATTCTTCGTGCACACGCACACTCGCACCTCTTCAGGACGATATGTGGTGAAGCTGGCGTTATCCTCACCAATCACTGCACTCTGCGAAACCCGTAAACCAGCTGAGCGGCTTCTTACAACGATGGAAAGGCGATGCGTCCAGGATCGTCGATTCGGCAATCTGTATCGCAACTTCATGAAAGAATACGAAGACCTAAAACATATGACGCTGGTGACATGCTCCACAACTAGCAATCAGTCAACGTACTTACCACATCATGGAGTACTCAAGGAGTCCAGTGCCACGACGAAGCTGAGAGTCGTGTTCAATGGGTCGCAGCGAACGCGAACAGGAGACTCATTAAATGTACACCTCATGACTGGAGCAAATCTTCTGCCAGCTCTTCCTGACGTACTACTTCGATGGCGTCAACACCAGTATGTCTTCGTTGCTGATATAGAAAAAATGTATCGGCAGATACTCGTGCATCCGGATGACTGCAAATTCCAAACGATCCTGTGGCGTCATTCAACTGATGATGAAGTGCGAGAGTACCAGCTGAAAACGGTCACCTACGGTCTGGCGTGTGCTCCGTTTCTCGCCATACGGACACTCCGTCAGCTCGCAACAGACGAAGAAGAGCAGTTTCCTCGTGGCGCCGTGGCTCTGCGTCGAGACTGTTACGTCGACGATGTGGTCACCGGCTCAAATACGCTGAACGATGCGATCGCACTCCAGACGGAAATTCGCAACCTCTGCTTGGCGGGCGGATTTCCGTTGAAGAAGTGGGCAGCCAACGACGAGAGGATCCTGACTGGAGTACCAAGCGATCATCTTTTGCAGCAATTGCCGCCAGCCTGGGAAGGAGAGAGCCACTCCACGCTAGGACTCCGCTGGCACCCGCAACACGACCAGTTCTCCTTCGTGTTTCATCCGCACGCTGCCATCAACCACACGAAGAGAACGGTTTTATCCGAAACCGCACGGCTCTTCGATCCAATGGGGTGGCTCGCTCCAGTCGTGATTCGAGCAAAAATTCTCATCCAATCCACGTGGCTGCAAGGATTGGACTGGGACACCCTGCTGCCGCCATCCGAAGCTCGAGAGTGACAACGTCTTCTAGAAGAACTCCATCTTCTAGATCAGTTGCGAATAAAACGCTGGCTCGGGACCGGAGCAGATAAGACCACGCTGCAGCTTCATGGCTTCGCCGACGCATCCGAACGAGGATATGCCGCCGCAGTATACATCCGCATCACTGAAAGGAACGAAACGTCAATAAGGTTATTGATGGCCAAAAGCAAGGTAGCACCCGTCAAACAAGTGACCTTGCCGAGGCTGGAGTTGTGCGCCGCCACGCTACTCACCAATTTGATGCGACATGTCAAACAAACGCTCGACCTGGCAACATCAGACACATACTTATGATCTGATTCAACAGTGACCCTCCAGTGGATTCGCGGTCACTCCTCACGCTGGAAGACTTTCGTCGCCAATCGAGTCGCTCACATCCAGACGCAGCTGCCTAATGCACAATGGAGACACGTAGCTGGTCGCGACAACCCTGCGGACTGTGCATCAAGGGGTATTAATCCAAGCGAACTGATCATGCACGCTCTATGGTGGACAGGACCTACCTGGTTATCACAGAACGAATCGGCCTGGCCAAATTCCGAGATGGAGATCCGAGGAGACGACGTGCTAGAAAGGAAAGCCACGAGCCTGATGACTGTGAACCGGGTCATCGTCGAGCCAGAAATCCTGCTCCGCTTCTCATCACTGCATCGCCTGCTACGGATATCCGCATGGTGCCGTCGCTGCGCTTCAGAGCCGACTCACACTGCTGGATTAACGTTGAGTCCGGAGGAACTTGACATGGCACTCTTTCGTTGGTTTCGAGAAGTGCAGACACTGCACTTCACGGACGAGATCACCGCAGTCGCAGCTGGACGCTCCGTCGCACCAAGCAGCACATTAGTCAAGCTGACTTCGTTTCTCTCGACGACCATGGTGTTCTGAGAGTGGGAGGTCGGCTTAAGAACGCCCTGCTGACACAGGATGAGAGGCATCCGATGATCATTCCAACCTCGTCGTGGCTGACTCGTCTGCTGGTGGAATCCTGTCACCGTCGGACGCTGCATGGAGGAGTGCAACTCACCCTGGGGCTGCTTCGACTGCGCTTCTGGATTCCACGAGGACGCACAGTTGTAAAACAACAACTACATCGTTGCGTCACCTGCACAAGATGGCGAGCAACGACGCTTCAGCCACCGATGGGTAATCTACCCCGCGATCGGGTCACTCCGACTCGGCCATTTCTGCGCACTGGAGTGGACTATGCAGGACCCATCCTCATCCGGACGAGCAAGGGACGAAGACACCGCGCCTATAAGGGCTATATCGCAGTATTCATCTGCTTTTGGTCCAGAGCCATCCACCTCGAACTTGTCTCGGATTACTCTTCAGAGGCCTTCATCGCCGCTTTACGTCGCTTTGTCTCACGTCGAGGTCTCTGTACGGACATATATAGCGACTGTGGAACGACCTTCATCGGGGCTGACCGTACTTTACGTGAGCTCTTCGTCGCTGCATCCACAGAGGGTCGTGGAATCGCACGCGTAGCTGCTGAACACGGCATACGGTGGCACTTCAATCCACCAGCAGCTCCGCACTTCGGCGGATTGTGGGAGGCAGCCGTCAAATCCGCTAAGTATCACTTACGGAGGGTGATAGGTGAAACCACCCTCACCTTTGAGGAACTGACCACTCTCCTCACACAAATTGAGGCCTGTTTAAATTTCGTCCATTACAGGCACTCTCTGACAATCCACGATGTTACAGCACTGACTCCGGGCCACTTCCTGATCGACGCGCCGCTTCTCGCCATCCCGGAGCCAGTACAGGAGGACAACCGTGGATTCGCAGAATCACGATGGCATCATCTCCAGGCGATGCGAGACCACTTTTGGCGGAGATGGTCGGGAGAATACATCCATGGACTCACCTCACGACCTAAATGGCTGAAGGTCGAGACAACACCTCGCATCGGAGCATTCTGCCTTGTGCGCTCCGAGATTTCGCCTCCAAACCGGTGGCCTCTCGCCCGGATCACAAAACTGCATCCCGGCGACGACGGGATCGTACGCGTGGTCACCGTTCGAACCGCGACCTCCGAGCTCGTGCGTCCGCTCGTAAAAATTGTCTTACTTCCCGACTTCGCAACGGACGTAACACACGCAACGCATAGACAGAAATGCACGACGCGTCACATCACTCACACACCTTTGCTCACGTTCATTCGCTATGCACTTGATTACACATCACATACGCACTGTAACCACTTTTTCACATTCACGCACATTATTTCACATCGAAAACGCGTTTCACTATTCTCAGCTGATCGCACCACGCTGTCAACACGTGTTCATCGTTTCAGCTGATCGAGCGACATTCCACGCGATAATCACGGGTATCTCGCCGCGCCGGCGCGCACCTACCCCACTATCAATCGCGATCGAGAATTCATAGCGACTTATTGTCAGCGGGTGACAAGGCGGGCGGGATGTTCGAAATTGAGAAGAAAATTAATATAATTGTTTAAGTCTATAATTCATCAGTCTAAAAATCGATATTTTTTTACATGAATATGCAAAAAAAACCGCGGAAAAAAGGGCTCGCCCGATATAAACAAGTAGGTGCGATAAATCAGGATTATCCTAACAAGCTGTCATAATAACAACATTGCTCAACCGAAAGCAACGATTACCGCATTGATTATCGATGTAATAGACATGCGCCGTTCGATCACGTGGCTTCCGAAAGCCAATCGATCCCGATATCGAGCGTTTCGCGCATGTTAGGTGCGTGCTTGTTTCGCGTAAATTACGGGGCGGCCAATAAAGACAGGCGCCTCGCGTCACCTTCGAACATTTTTAAACAAACGAAATTAATTGGTGAAGAAAAATTAGTGGGGCTTCAGTTACCGCACCGATAAAAGAAGCGCCCACCAAAATTGGGCCGCTAGTCTCTCGAGTTTTAGTACGTACAACCGCTGTCAAACCGCTTAGAAATTACCGCAATTATTAACCGCACACGCACTTTGAAATCAATCTCGGCTTATCTATTGGAACTTTTGTAAAATTACTGTATCGTCTAAATTGTGTTAAAGTAAACTCTGTGTTATTTTTTTAAAGGGTGATCATTCTTTTCGGCCTTCAAATACGCGCTCTCCTTCACGCGTTCGCGCAAACAATAGTATAAAGGTTGTTCGAACTTTTTTGTCTTTTAAAATTTAATTCTTTTGTAAAAATAACGATTGATAACTTTTTTGGAGAAACAATATTTCGTAAAATATTCTTCACTATCGTTAAATTTTTTTTATGAAACCGTTTATCAGATAGTAATAGAGCGTGGTCCACTAAATTGTAAATCGTATTAATTTTATATTTAAAGGATGACTTGAAAGAAAATTTATATATCTGCCTGACTACGTCGGTTTTCTAAACCAATTTGTTACCAATTTATTATTTTTGCAACGCAACACAGTTGTATTTAAAAAATTTAATAACGAGTTACGTTCGATCTCATACGTAAACTTTAATGATACTTATTAAACGTAGATAGAACTATATCTAACTTTTCGGGTATTATTGCTAAAATATCGTCCACATATCTGTAACACACTAGTGAAGCGAAGTATTTTATTTATATTTATAACTAGATGCTTCCTTATAATAGGGTGACGTACGTTTAGGATTCGGATTTGGTAATTTAGGTTTTTCTTTCGTAAATCAATTAAATACGTATTTATATATTAATACCGCATCTTTCTAGATCTTTCTTAGGAGTATGGTTCTCCTTGTACATTCGTGAATTCTTATTATTATTATAGTTGTGGAACTTCTTCCATTGGTAGCGTCTTTTCTACCCTTCTTTACGCTTCGTCTGTGTGGCGGCGTCTTTGAACGTTTTTTCTCGACGGTGAGACAGATGGCGAAATCAGCGGTGGGACTCTCCAGAACACTGCAACGTAAAGGAGATCTCTCTTTCAAAGGAGATCTAGACGGGCTGTTTAGTATGCTCCAGTCACATCGTCATCCGCGCTGGTATGGCTAGTAACCCTGTAATTAGATGATTAGTGTTTGGCGGTGATACGCCAGGTAAGCAAAAGTTGAATAAATCCGGCGTCGTAGCGTCAGGTATAATACTGTAAATTCCAGCGGGAGTACGCCAGGAAACTTTGCTGGTTTAGGCGGATTGACGTCTGGAGTCTTGGTTCTCTGAACAGGTATTTACTGTAGTTTTCGGCCTCACTAGCGGTATACGCCAGGTGTTCTCGTGAACTCGGGCAGTGTGGCGCCAGGTGTTCGGAGCCGTTCCGGCAGCGTAGCGCCAGGAGTTGGTGACCATTCCAGCGGCGTAGCGCTAAGTATTGATGGCCGTTCCGGCATCGTGGCGCCAGGAGCTGGTGGTCGCTCCGGCGGCGTAGCGCCAGAGTTGGTGATTGTTCCGGCAGTTTAATGCCGGGGACAGCTGTCTTCTCCGGTGGGCAAGCGCCAGGAGTTCCGGGCTGTGCGTAGCGTGTATACGCCTGTAAATGTATATTGCTGACAATGCGAGGATACTGTTGCGGGGGTCTTTAAAAGGACTTTTTTGGTTCTTTGGCAGGGAGCTGCTCACCTGTCCTCTTCTGCGCTAACTTATACAGTGGAGTTGGCCGGGTCCGTTTCCGGACTATTGCGAGGTCTTCCTCAAATCGCCTCTTAATTGAGATCTTGCTCAATTCTTTCCCGTATCTATTAGCGTCTAGCGCCATTAGTTCGGAAAAGTACTAAATGTGTTTTTCTCGCCGCAGGGGCTTCCTTATACACCCTCGTGGGGTTGTAATCTTGACTGCGGTAGTACGTTTGGCGCTTGTGCGCCGCGTAGCGGCAGCGCAAGCTACTATCGTGCGGTGGCGCGCCCGCGCTCACTCTTTTGCAAATAATAGTCGCGGGCGGCTGCTATACTTGTTTCCCGAGAAAAGAATTAAATACGGCCGGTTGCCGCATTTGCGCTCTCGAAAAAGTTTTTCTTATTTATTTTGTGGTTAGTCGCCACAAACTAGTATCGAAAAATTCAACACGTCCAAACAATGTGATTTCAAATCGTCCATAATTATGTCAGCTAAAATTGGGGATAAAGAACATCCCATTGGACTATCATAAATTTGTTCATATAATGCCCCTCAAATCTAATAACTAGTTGAGTCCAAAATCAAACTTATTACATGTAAAAATTGTTCTAAATTTAATTTGTATTCTTTTGATATATTTTTCCAACGCATTTCAATACCCCTCATAACTAAATTCTTAGGAATCTTAGTAAATAGCGATGAAATATATCTAAAGAAATCATTATTTTAGAATCATTATCGTTCTATCTTTAATATTTTCTGAGAATAAACCATCCATTATTTTATGTGCGACTTTGGTTTCTCGACGGAACAATGTATAATGTTCTGAATATAA